GATATAAGAGCTGGCTAGCAAGAGGCCTGCCATAGACCATACAGTTCGTAAATAATATTAAGCCTCTGAGTGATTATTTTATAAGCAGCTGCAGGACCTCGGGGCGGGACTGGAGAAAACTTTCAATTACAATAAAGTGCTTGCTGCAGAAACATGAGGACTCAAGTTCAGATCCCCAATACCTCTGCAAAACAGCACAGGCCGGCTGCACACAGCTGTGACCCTAGCTCTGGGGTGTAGTGGGTGAAGGGGGGACAGACGGGGGATCCCCAGCATGGGATCCCCAGCATCTGCTAACCGGCCTGTCTAGCCATAAAAGGTAAAGAGACCCTGCTCAAAGATAAGGCAGAGATGGGCTGGGAGGTAGCTCGGTTGGTAAGTGCCTGCCTGGGCATGCACAAAGCCAAGATCAATCCCCAGAGCCACATAAGACCATGAGAGGTAGCACATTTGTCACTCCAGCACTTGGGAAGTAGATGCCAGAGGATCAAAAGTTCAAGGACAGCCTGGGATACATGAGACCCTACCTCAAAATCAGGTAGTAAGTGACAGCAGTCAGGTATATCCCCCTCCAGTCCTGTCTCCTTACTAGTTCTGTGACTGGGCATATCCCCCTCCAGTCCTGTCTCCTTACTAGTTCTGTGACTGGGCAAATTAACTCTTTGTCCTCATGTCCGTGAACAAAGGTGCTTTTAGCCTATTTTGGATAAATTTATGAATTTAAAAGAGCTGGAACAGAGTCTGGTACCTGGAAAGCATCACATGTATTCAGTGTTGGTGACACAGGAACACCGTTTGACACCAGTGTCTCTGCGGCTGCCGCTTCACTTAAAAACTTGTGTTAAGTTCACATTTCCTTTTGTGGTGTCCTGTGTACCTGTGCTATATCCCTAACTACAGTTAGCAAGTAATTTCCAACACTATTATGTACCAGGCAATACTTGAGGCACCAGGAATACAGCAGACAACAGTTTGTGTTATCCTGTCTGGGGAAGGGACAAGTTAACAATAAATGGCCAAGAAAAATACTAGGCAAGTGATAATACCTAAGAGTGTAACTTAGTGTGCAAGAGTGAGTTTCCTAGTGGCACTTTACACCAGAAGGCCAAGGAAGGCCCCACACAGATAGATTGGCTTGAAAAGGAGAAGCCATGCCAATGTTGCTGGGATTCCTTCATGTCCTTGCACACCCAGAGCTCATCTGTCTCCTCCCAAGTGCCTTTAGCCTGCTCTGCTTGGAAATACGCAGGGTCTTGGCTCACTCCATTCTTCCTGTCCCACTACCCAGGTGTCTCTCTTGGCTCCATACCATATAGCTCAAGGTGGGACTGTAGGGTTAAAAAGGCCATCCAAAGAAACACACCCTGACCCTGGAACCAGAGCCAAAAGGCTAAAAACGGCCAGTAAAAGAAACACACTCTGCCCTGGACCCCCTCACCCTGAAAACCAACCAATCTCTGAGCTTGAAATCGGACCAATTCCCACCCTGAAAAAAACCTCCATCCCTAAGAAGCCCTATATAAGCCCTGTCACATGTCCAGCTGGGAGCCGCCTTTTTCCAGCAAGGAACAGGCAGCCAGCCTCCTGGATTCTCACCTCCTAATAAATCTCTTGAATGAGGTTTGGGTGAGACCTTTTTTCGGAAGTCAGAGCAGGGGCTATCAGAGCAGAACTGTAACACGTTTGCTGGGGAAACCCTGCCCTGCCCGAGCAGAGTTGTTAAATTGGGGGAAACCTTTACGTGCAGTAGAACTGTGAGCTGCTGCGCTTAAGGTGACTTTGTGGTATTCCTTGGCTCCTGTCAGGATCCCTTTCCATCCGAGCTGCAATGCTTATAAAGACCCTCGTCACCGGTCTCTTTTATAAAGACAACCCCCCCACACCACAGCACTGGTCCCCACCTCATGCCCTGACCATTGAGCACTTGTGTGGAGCCTTGAGTGTTGGGAAGGTCCTGGTAAGTAAGCATCACGTAGTAATTTTCTACTGATCTCCAAAGGCCCATGTTCAGATAGAAAACTTGGGACCCAACAAACCCCGCTTGCATTGAAATCTCCCGAGGTTGGGCCAGGCGTGGTGGCCCATGCCTTTAACCCCAACACGCACGTGAGGCAGGTCGAGGCTAGCCTGGTCTACATAGTGAGACCCTGTCTTCACAACCCCGGCAAAGTCTCCACAGGTGGTTTCCAACAATACTGTCAGTTGACGGAACCCCGAATCCACAGAAGGGTTTCAGACGTCCAGAAAATACCCTAGGAGCGCTCCGGTGCGCTACGCTTGGAACCCAAGTCCCACACGCGGGGCGATCCACGTAAGCAGGCAAGACGACCCAGTCCTGCCCGCCATCGAGGGAGCCCGTGAGTGGTCACAGCCGGCCGCATGCTCCTCCCCGCCACACACCGGGAACTCGGCTTCCGAGCCCGTCCCAATCACGAGTTACACCTACCGCGCGAGTCAGACACTAAGTGAGCGGTTTGTGCACTGCACACGCGCGCGCGCACACACGTGCAACTGCCTTTATTAGATCTCGGGGGAACGGCGGCCCTAGACACCACTACAGCCAAGGGAAGGTTCCCCGCTGCACCCAGGGCAGGGCGAGGGCCCGGAGGGGCCCAGGTGGGCGCTGGGCCCTCAACTTCCGGCGCCCTCCAGCTCCTCGGCGGGAACGCGCGGCGACCCCGTTAGGCCGCAGCGAGGTCCACCGTGGGGCGCAGGCTTCCGCAGAGCGGGGGACGTCCCGAGCGTGCCCCCGGCCACGCGAGCCTGGAGCCCCGTGCAGCGTCCGGGCAC